CTGTGCTGTCTGCAGCTTGAAGGTGTTTTAATTTGGTGCCCAGCATTGTGCTTGGAAGATATTCTTGGTTATGTGAGATACAGAAGTAGGAAAAAAAATGTGTATGTGAATAAGAGTATTCTGTTGCTGAACAATGGGGGAGTGGTACCTCTTGAAACCTCTTTTGTACAGGGAAGGATCTCTTGTAAGAGTGCTGAGTGATTTCTCCTTTCTCCCCTTACAAGCTGCAACAGTGTTGTGGGGGAATCAAATACCATTAGTGAGCTCATACATCCATATCTGTTGCCTTTGCACAGGCAGTATGCTGATGAGGCTTCCACGTGAAGTAGAGAGTGAGATAGGTTAGCATGTCTTGAGCTGAGACATAGATGGCTTATATCAGGCTCCATCTTAAAGCTGTTGTGCTTGGAATGGGATTGTGGGTTAAAGGTTTAGTTTCATTCTGTGTCAAATCTCTTTCCATTCTTTATTCTCTTTTGCCACCTTTGGTCTTCTCCATTCAAGAGACATTGACTCTATCCATACAGCTTTTTCAAGTAAATGACATAAGATGTACGGTTCCAGTGTCTATGATAACAAAGGGTCTGGCTCATTGTTCAGTGTTTTCTTGGTCTGCTGAAAAAGAGGAATATTAAACTTCACCAAGAATCCACTCAGATATGGGATCTCTTCTTCTTTGTACTGATGAAACTGCATTTAGGATCGATGTTTCTTCAAAAAGATGTTTTGATTTTACATTTGTACACAATGTTTGTCATCAAACTGTTTCAGAAGAAATATTTTGAAGAATGGAGTTTGTCTCTGAGCATGCACTGAAAGTAGCTAAAGGTTTAAAATGCAGAGTACTCTACTGCCCTGGTCTTGCACCTGGATATGATGTGGCCTTTTCTGGCCCTGAGTGCATCCATATTTCTTAATGGCCCTGACCAGCCTCACCTGAAACTTCCACCCCACCCTCTGCCCACAGGTCTGGGGCCTCCATTTCAGGTCAGCCTGGGGCTGTCAGTCTGCCTGACCTATGTGGTTGGTGGTCTCCTGCCTCTGGAGCCCCCAGCCAGGGCTCCCTGGGTGGCTTCTGGACCTGGTTCAATGCCAGCTGTGTCTGAGGCTGCCAATGGAGCACCCAGCGCTGCTCAGCCCCTATGGGATTGTGCTATGGTGGGTGAGGACACTGTCCTGCCAGGGTCACCTGTGGCTCCCATCTTGTGTCTCCTTTTGGGGCAGCCCTGCTGGAGTTCCTTGGCAGCACCTGTGCTTCTGTACATCACTATCATCATCATGCTCCTGTTTAAGCATTACAAAAGTCTTAGTCTCTCAGACTACTCCTTTCTGATATACTTGAGAGTTCTAGTGTCATGTTTTTGTTTTTCAGAGGGACCTTATTTCAACTTCTGATATTGTGATTTCACTTTTGAATTGATATTCATATCAGATATTAGTGATAGCTCACTTATAGGTGAGTGGTTAGGCAGGTAAATTCTTTGTGCTTCTGCAAAGCTGCTTTTTTTTTGTTTTTGTGGGGTTTTTGTAGCTTTGGCTTTGGGAAGTGGTTGAGAGACATTAAGTTTTTCTGTTTTATATGCTTGAAAAAGAGGGAATTTCCATTTAGCAGAATGTTTAAATTCCCAAGCTTATTCTCTAAAAACCTTTTTTAATTTGGCATTCTTAGAGTAAGCTCAATTCCCAGAAAGCAGTTGATATCCAAATTTGAAGTATGGTGGGGAGAGAGGAAGAAAGATTCCAAAATAGTCAACATGTGGATCACAAAGAAAAAAGGAAAAATACCCAAAGATTGTAAAGAGCTCAGTCTAGTTTCGTTTCAGAAAAATAAATTATTAAATAGAAGATGTCAGTTTAAAAGTTGTCATGTCTCTTTCACACCTGAAATATTATTAATTCGTGGTTATCTGATGAGCTGCTTATAAGCTTGGTTTTGTTTCACTGGTTTTGTTTTGTTTGAAGTGGAAGTGTGAGTTTGAGGAGGGGAGTGTTGTGAATGCATGCATAGTTGGGTTAACTTGGTTAGGGACATAGCTGCTTCTTGGCAACGCTTTAAATAGGAAAAGAGATCCTGTCATGGAATAATCCTCCATTTGGAAGACCAAAAACCTTCTGTCTCTTGTAATCTTTTTTTTTTTTTCAGTCATCTGTAACATAACTGTGAGTAAAAATCGATGCTCCTGATGCTTTAAAGATTATACAAACATAAACAACCTTGTTTGGTTTAGAAACCTGTAAGTGACGATAAGATCTTATTTAGAAAGCTTACCCAGAAGCTTTCTAAGTGTCAGCTTAACAGAAAACCCGAGTGGAAAGTTGGTCAAACATCCAGAAGATGTGTAAACAGAAAAGTTAGACATGTACATTGAATTGAGAATTAACAGTTGTTACAGACTGTGCCAGTCAGAGCTGTTTCAAGTGGTCCCAGCCTTGCCACCCCAATTCATTCTTTAACTGGAAATTAATTTAAGTGTGACATTTTGTGTGAAAGAGCTGTCATCGGGCATTTACATATATTTAAGTGAAATGAAAACGTAACCCAAACTGTATTACACAAGGTGCATCCATCAACCCATTGTCTTTAGAAAATGGTGCAGGCTGATTGCCTTTGGCAGAATTGAGGGAAAACCCCTGTTACTTCACTGCTTTTTGTAAAGTGGGGGAAATATTGGCCTTGTTTACCTGAGCATATGATAGAGTAATTAATTTGCAATTTGTGTCAACATTTCCATTATGCAGGAATTGGTGGGTTTATTCCAGAATAGAATGTTTGCACATAAGACTTCTGGATGGCTTACCCTAAGATAGCTGGAGTGTTCAATGTGCCTGATCAGCAAGGCAAATAACATTTTTTTTTTTTTATACTAACACTGATTTAATCTTTAGGCTGCTACTAACTATACATTTACTGTGCAGAGGATGGCTCGTTTTCTGCAAGGAAATGTGTGTAACTAGCAGTAATGAAAGATAAGGGTTTTTTTAAAAAAATTGAATTGGCTAGCTAAAACTCCATATGTGTCCAATTTAGAATAATCTGCAAAGGCAGTGTCTGAATAAAAATGCTGTTCTTGATAAGATATAGTCCTCCACACCCTTCCTTCTCTGTAATTTCCTTCCATTCTTCCCACTTTTCAACTTCATGCTGTAGTTTCAGATAGGTTGGTCATCAAGTTAATTGCCAAATAGTTGGTTAGGGATTAAAGCAGTAGCCTGGCCTGTCAGTTTTAGTCCATGGATCTGCTGCCATTCTCCTGAGTGTTGTTGAACGAGCTGTCCAGTGTTTGTGTCAGTTCCTCTTTTGTGAGCCATGGGTAATGTGTCCGTGCCTCATTAGATTGTTGTGAGGATATATTCATGTGTCTTTGATGCTTCTGATGTTAGTCATACAAGGTATAACAGTGCTCTCATGCAACCACGTGAAAATAATACATTATGTACATACCCATGCAAGTAAGAAATAGGAGATTAAACTACAATAGCTAATTTGCTAGGTTTGTTTGCACTTCAGTCAAATAGCACATGCTGCTTCTCAAAGTCTCTAGGCTTTTCTCTGATGATACTAGTAGACTACCAGGGTAGTCACAGACCTAACCAGTGGAGGTTGCTTGTGGTTTTCTTTTTGTGGGGGGTTTTTGTTGGTTTAACCTCCTAATAAATGCCACGATAATCAAATATGTGGTAGTCATGTTTCTAGTGTAGTGGTAAGGACTGTAGTCAATCAGGCTTCTTTTAATAATCTCCATAGCAACTACACTCAGTAAAAAGTGAAAATAACTGATTCATGTGGTTCTATGCCAAATGATACATGTGAGCAATGTCCTGTCTGTGTGAAATGTCATATTCAGCTAAATGATGCATACTCTGCTGGCAATGCTTTCTCTTAAGAAGCAAGGAAATGGGAGCTAGTTTTTGTTTGCAGTATAATTCGTAAAGAGAAATGGGCTTTTAAATGCTAGCGTTAGTGTCCCTCCATCCCTTTCTCCAGGGTATTAAATCAAAACCAGGAGGGCTTGGTAGCAAATGATTTGCTTTTTATTTCATTCCTCTCTGCACGTGGAAAGTGATACTTTAAAGCTGGTTATATCAATGCAAATACTTTGTTTTGGTTTAGCTAGAACCTGCTCCTAACTAAACTTTTTTAAAAAAAAAAAGAAAAAAGAAAAAAAGTGGAACTCACAGATAAGGTTCATTGCTTCTTAAATGTCATTATTTCTGTATATCTAGTTCTCCTGTCTACTTTGTATTTTGCCTTAACGGTTGCATGTGTCTTTGATAAATTTTAGGAGTAGTAATTAGAAGCAATACCTAAAATATGTGTTCTTTTCCTCCCACTCGGTGTTATCCTGGCCTCTCACAGCTGTGTTCCTGGAGTTACTTATTCCACCTGAAAGGGTGAAATGCGGAATTGCTTTGGATCTGGAAGTGAGCAAATGTCAGGGATTGCCTCAGAGGAACCTTCTCTGAAATGGCTCGGATGCTTTTTGCCTTTCACATGCATACTTTAGGTTTGATTTTTACAGAGGTGCTGAGCGCCTGCATTTCCTGCTGACTGCACCCAGCCGCCTTCTTTCAAAATCGCACCTCTTTTAAATGCCTCTATTCTGTAGCTTTTTAAGATATCTTTCAAAGCTGGCCTGAAGGCACCAAAACTTAACTTGAAGATTATGTTATAGACCCCTGTGGTGGGGGTAATGGTGGGAGAGTTAGCACCTCTGGATGTGTGCCCTGTGGAGTTACTGTTTGTACTGAGCTTCTCAAAGAACGGCTTTGCAATTAAATCCGTGCTTTAAATTCAGCGCCAAAATAGAATTTTGGAAGATCCGTTGTATAAAATGTTCTTTTGGGAGAAGTAGTAAGTATCTGGCAATCCTATGTGTGGAGGTGTTTATTTTATGATTTTTAAATATGACTCTCTTCCTTTTAAGCTTTTTTCTTTTCCACCGATCTTTAAGAACATCTTATTTTACACTTAACTCCATTTATTTGTGTGTGTTTTGCAGGAATCCCTTGAAGCTTGCCCTGGGAATGGACAGCTACCTCCATTTCTGGAGGAGAGTAGTGCCAATTGAAGAAACCTTCAAGGCAAGTCAACAAGTGCGCTGATAACTCTTGGAAGAGTACAGGGAAGGGGTGACCTTCCAGGCCAACAGCCATGCCTTTTGGGCTGAAACTGCGACGGACCAGACGCTACAACGTCTTGAGCAAGAACTGCTTTGTGACAAGGATCCGTCTGCTGGACAGCAATGTGATCGAGTGCACCCTCTCTGTGGAGAGCACGGGGCAGGAGTGCTTGGAGGCTGTTGCTCAGAGGCTGGAATTACGTGAGGTAAGTGTAACCCGGGAATGACCACCTGTCACTGTATAATTTGACACATTTTTAGCTCAAGCAGTCTATTCGTATGAATCATGTTCTTCTCGGGGCTGGCCCGATAGGATCAGCAGCTGGAGCTTGGACAAACTTATTCTGGTTGCATGAAACCTGAAGGCAGAATGACACTCAGGGTTTTGTGCTGTTACTCGTTCATCTTGGCTTTGAGACCTCTTTGTAAGACAGAGATGGAGTTTCTTCTTTTCTTGGAAAGCAATTGGTGATACTTTCTGAACTGAGATGCCAAGGGCAAAGTTACAGTAACTTTTATCTGAATGTAACCCTGGTTTCACCAGTGTTGCTGGTTGAATTATGCCAGTGGGAAGGAGACCATTGGTTTTTAAATATCCAACTTTGTATAAATATATTCTTGATACTGACATACTGAAAGAGGCAACAGTTGTATTACTAGCAGGAGCAACTAGTAACAGTTTGAGGATGGTGAATTTTTTTCCTCCTTTTGTTTAACTAAAATATTTCACATCTGAAACTCTGAAAGGCTTCCCAAAAGGCTGAAGAAACCCGGTCTTTATTATAAAGACCGAAATCCTTTATTTTCTACTTCTTACTGTAGAGTTCAGTGTTTATTTTATAAGGGCCTTTTTAAAAATACTTTTCCAACATGCATGGCATAAATGAACTGTCTTTTCTTACTTACCTTCTGTGCACGCTTCTAGGCTTTTGAAAATCCATATTTGAAAACCATTGCCTGGGAATTGCTGTGTTATCATCTGACAGTCCTGGCTGATGCTTTCTGTAAGCACAGCTGGGAAATCTAATAGATCTTGCAGTGTCTTGCTTTTGTAGGTCTACAGCCCTTGGTAATGGTGACAGCTGGAAGGTAGCATACAAATAACTAGTGCAGATGAAAACTAAACAAAAACTCTTTTTTGTACATCAATAATGATAAAGAACAAGAGAAGAATCTCACTCTGTGCAGAATATGCAGGAGAATCTGCAGGCAGGAATAGGGCAGAGACACACAATATTGCATAATCACCTTCGCCCTCTTTCTAGAGATGAAGATTTCCCAGTAATTACTTTTTAAAATTTTCTTTCTGTTGGTAATGCTTTAGGGTGTCCTTACAGAGATGTTAGGTCTTTCCCTTTCCTTCTAGTGCAGAAAGGAGTGAAATGACTGAAGTGATTCTCCTTGTATTCCTTGTGAGCTTATCTAGTTGGTACAGCAGAAGGCTGGGGCCCAGTGATTCTCTGGAGGTCCACCTGTGTTTGCGAACAATAGCTCTGTCAGTGGGTTCGCATTCTTTTCCACAAAGCATTTTGTGATTTCAGAACGTGTTTTGTTCCACTTTGGAACAAAGCCTGAAGTTTCAAAATTTTCCAGAGAAAAGAGATTGGACGGGAGTGTAGCAAAGGAAGCTGTTTTGGTCAGTGTCCAATTTCACGGGGGTTTTCTATTGCTTTGTTTTTTTTCATTTTTGAAATAATTTGTGTCATACAAAAAGAAATATGTCAGCACAAAAAGTTTGTGTTTCAAGATAAAAAATATTTTAACAACACAGAAGAGAGTGCTTTGATGTTGTTGGAACACTTTCCCCTTCTTTCATCACCCTCCCCACTTTTTTTCTAAACAAAGTTTTGGCAATGATGAACCAATTTTGTAAAGTTCAGATTTCAACAGTGCAGCATTTTTTGACAGAAGTTGGTGTTGGGGTTTTTTTTAAGGTTTTTTTTTGTTGTTGTTGTTTTAATCTTTCTGTTTGATTCTGGTAGCATCCATTGCTGCTTTAAATGTTTAGGAGAGAAGAGAATTACTGATCTCTTTTAACTCTGAGAGGGTCGCCACATATCCTTTTCTGCTCCTTTCATGAGGAATAATTGGAGCCAGCAAACTTAGAGGCGCTTGGTGCTGGGTGCTGTCCTTACACTCAGACTCAAAATTCAGTTGTTTTTCTGCCCTTCCAGTCTTCCTGAAATAGTTTGTAGGGAAACAAGGCTAATGTAGTCATTTGATGACTGCCCCCTTCCCTCTCTAGGTTTACCATAATTTTTCAGAATTCTGAAAAATAAAAAAAGAGTTCAGAATTTTGAACTTGCTGGCTAATCAAATTATACAGAAGGTTCAAAAATACTTTGACAAAGCTCAGATTTCTATAACTGGATAGCTGAGTAGAGGGTGGAAGCCCATTAAGTGTACAGAGGAGAAAATTCTTGCAAGTGTCCAGATTGGAGAAGGACTTTTTAAATTCCCCAGATGCAGCAAAAACTTCAACTGGAATATGCCTTTTCTTAGAAATCCTTATCAGCAAACTATGATGCCCTAGTAAGGAGGAAATTAAGCTTCATTAAATCCCATGCTCACAAAACAGTACTCAGATCCTGTTTGTCTCCTCTAAGCAGTCTTAGGTAAGAAAATATGTTCTCTTAAAAATAAAGCTCTATTTTCACTTGATACTTTAGTTTGGTCGTATGTTTAAATAAATACCAGGTGTACTCTAACTTTTACCTTGGTGTTAGAATGTTTCATTCAAGCCAATTTCTTAAAGTAAACAAAAAACGGTCCAAACCTCACCTGCTAAAAAACAAAACTGTTTGAGATTACTATATGTATTGTGACAGTCTGTCGATCATTATACCATACATGACTGAAAAACAGTATCTGATGGATTATGCATATTTCTATTTGATCTCTGGGGAATGCAGCTCCCTCCCTGGCTGAGTCAGGGTTCAGGAATAGGTCAGTAGAAAGTGTAGCCATGTAACTACTGTAAAATCTAGTTTTATCCTTTTCAGCGAAGTTCTTGACAAAGCATCAGGTCTTCTAGTTGAATAGTTAACCAGTTGAATAAAATGAGCTCTTATGCAAGCATTATGTAAAAAAGTAAAGACGAGGAGAGGAAGGGAGAGGAAAGACAAGGTCAGGAACATAATTTTATAATCTTGTATTTATGTGCACAGATTATAAAAATGATTTTTTCCCCAATATAATGGCATTTTTCCATTCAAGTAAGATTAAGTAAACTTGCTTGAAATATCACAGTAATCTGTGCAAATCTGTTGTGAAACTTCATGTCTCTCTGCTTTTTGTTCTCCTTAATTCACTTTATAAAATGATAAAAAGTTTAAAGATGGAATGTTCTGACGAATTGCAAGGTTGAGAGAGGGGGTGGGGTGCCAAGAAGGTCCTTTCCAGCCAAAATTATTCTTTTGACCTAAATTTCACAGTGGTACTTCCAGCACTGCAAAACCCAAACAAAAGCAGGAGGGTGGCAGGCCTAGCACCACAGGTGGACAATGACCATTGTGCAGGCGTGGCCATTTGCTGCTATTCTGAGCTTTTTTTTGTGCCCTATAAGGTGTCCCCTCCTTGCAGGGCACAACTTGAAAACCTGTGTTCAGCAGTCAGGTTGCCTCGAAGTTTGGCTTGGTTTGACTTGTTTTGCCAGTGATGCTGAGATGGAGTTCTGTCTGTAGGAATAATTGGCTGCTCTAAGTGATGCCTTCCTCTCTGTGCGAGTTCCCCAGGATAGCAGGGTTTAATGCTTTTTGCCTGGAGGAGCTGGAATTTTGCCTCTTTCTCAAGGATAAATATTTAGTTGGCTGCTTAACCAGATGCTTTAATAAACACTGAGCCAGTCTTGTTAGATGCTTTTGAGTGAGATTTGCTAGTTCAGTAAGTGTCTGTCATCTGTTGACAATTCTACTCTTTTTGCCTGTCATAAAGGCAGGGGATATTCTGGACTTAGGAGTATAGCGAAGTCAGAAATGAGTATGTTGCCTTCTGAACTGGCAGCTATAATGTTATCTGTTTTAGGACTTCTTAGTACAGGTTTTGTGTATCCAGTTTTCTTTTCTAGTTCGCCATATTTTGAGGATCACCTTTTCATGTAGTGTCATTGGGACATGCAGGTGGTCTGGTTCTTGTCCACTGCTTTAGCAGAGGACTGCAGTTCTTGGAAAAATGTAAGCCAGTTTCCTTGTATTTTTGTACCATGTGTGAAGTCATGTGTGGTAGCTAAGACAAATTTTAAAACCTTGAGAGAAAATTAATGTGAACTCTTTTCCAACAGGGCTTTTAGTGTATTTGCAGATTGGACAGACCAAACAGCACTAGCAACTGAACCTCTTTGCAGAACAGATGTGTGTGCATGCATTTGGTGCTACAGAAAGATTTCCTTTGGTATCACCAGTCTACCAACTGTGGCTGGAAGAAGGAATTTTTTTCTTAAGTGAAAGCGTGATTCACCTCCTTTACCACTTTGACTACTGATATGCCTGAGAGAGCAGCCTGTGTTACTTCAGAGCCTGCCGGTATAGGCATAGATATTTATTCTGTGAAAACTTGAGTGAAGTCAGTGGTTCATTTTATACAGATGAACAAACAGATCAGTTCTGGAATCAAGCTAGTTTTCAATCAGCTGCTTATAGAGAAAAAAAGACTCATTTTTATATCCCCTCATCTAATTTGTGGTGTGTCTGTACTGTAAAAATGTTTTGTGGGCTGGAATGTATGGCAACACATGACTCAGATTCTGTAAGGCTTTCTGGACAGTCATATGTCTGGTCATAGCACAGTGAACATGATGGTCCAGCCATTTCCAGTCCCACATTCCTCAGCTCCTGTTTGGGAATTATTGATGTCCTTAGGGGACACAGTCTCTTCAGTCATTTGCAGTAGTGGCTACAGAAGTTCTTCCTCACTGTGGATTCTTTAAAAAATGCTGACATTTTCAAGAAGTAACGTTCCTGGTGACAGGGAGCTGATACTCAGATAACTGTGTTGGTTGTCTCATAGTGTGTGCATTTGTGTCTTGAGCTCCGCTCTGTGGTCCCTCTGCTTGATTCTCTCTAGTCTGCTTTCCAGGAACACAGTCAGCTTTTAGTTGTTTGAAATGGGTGCAGCCGTGGTTGGCCCACTGTATCTGCTGTAGTCTAGAAACTTAAACACTGCATTCCCTTCACTTCTTACTCCTTGGAAGTGACTCAGGATTCTGGATTTGGTACTTGAAGAGCCTGCTACTGTAGCAAATCTAAATTTTTGTTGTCCCCCTGCCCCCACTCAGAGGGGAGAGACTGCTCATTTGAACTGTTCAGTTACAATACCCTTAGTCCCTCTTACAATTCTTTTAGACTTCAGACTCCAAATCATCTTAGTTGCTCTATGCTTTAGAAGTACTTGATACTGCCAAGTGGGGTCCTAGGTGATGTGGATATTTACTTTTCAAGGTAATATGGAAGATATGTTTTCACAGCTCTGCATTGTTTCTTGCTGAGGATGAGCTGCCATCTCATCTGCCATCCAAGAATTTGGATTTCTTTATGAGGTGGTAAAATCATTGTGCTTTTTTCTGTCTTCAAATGAATTCCTTTCCTTTGCTGTCTCCACTGTCCCTTCCACCTTCATTTTGATTTAATTACTATTATGGTGAGCTCATCAGGAAGAACTTTATCCAGTGATGACTACATAGGGAGAACAGACATCTATCCGTGAATTGGTTAGTTTTGTTTTAAGTTTGTCCTATGGGAGATGCTGACTTTCTGATTATTTGTGCCCTGGATTGAAGATATATAAAGTTATTAAGATTCTAGAATTTAAAGGTATCTTTAAAAGGTAAATACTACATTGATTCTCTTCAAAAAAAGAACTCGCTTTCTTCACTGTATCAAACTGAGCTGAAAGAGACAGGGCTGAGCAATGTTCCAGCTATACTGCATGTTTGTCAGGCTTAATTGAGGAATCAAGATGAATTAGTTATCACTTTAGTTAAATGCTAGTCTGGATGTTCTCCCGAGTTGAAAATATGCACATAATGAGATGCTAAAGTAAATACACCTGCACTGCAATTCAGAGTTTTTGCATATGATTCTCTCTTGCATGCCCTCAGCTATAAAATAGTTTGAACTGTGTTGGCCCTGTTGGCTTGTTATTTTTAAGCATTTTAACTTTTCAGTATTGCATTATTTGCTCTTGTGTTGTGTGCTAACTCATGGTACATGCAGTGGATTTTAGGGAAGTATCCTTACCAAAGTGAAACAGGCTGATGATGGTGGCTTTTGCAAAGTGTAATGGTTGCAATTTGCCTGCTACTTCTACAGACTTTTTATTTAAAGGTGTGAACATCTGGGAAATCCAGTTGTTGAAATCTTGATGGTTGATTCATAGGCCAACTTTTTTTGAATGTATTAAAAATAATTTCAATTTAAAACTTTATAAAACAGCAAATACAGGATTTTCTATTCTTTGTGTAAAGTATCTTTACTTGAAATGTGGTGTTATGCATAAAGGATTATGACTGCCTGTGGAAGGATTGTTGCTCTGGGAAGTTGAGCTATAACAACAAAATAAGTATTTTATTTGTTTTAAGGTTAGTCTAACCTAATGGAAACTACTGGAAAGTTTTAATTGAAGCATCAGTTGTTTTAATTGTTTTAAATTAAAAGTTTTAATTGGGAGTCAGTTGGATTAAACACCAAGAAAGTTTATTGAAATAAAATGAGAGAAATGTAGAAATAGAAATGATCCCACTTTCAGATCCTAACTCTGCTTGGTGTCCACAAAAGTTCCTCTGGCAATTTCTGTTTCATCCATTCCAGTGTTAGTACAGGATGATATTTTATATTTGAAGGCACTGCTGGCAATTTCCAGATGCTGTCAGCTGAAATACTGAAGAAAAAGGTGTTGATACAAACTTCACAGTTAGGGCTACAGTCAGATTTCCAAGCAACTGATGAATTAGTTCTTTTGCTAAACACAAACACTCTTTTCACCTTTTCAGATCTATAGTTATAGTGCTTGCTGTTAATTATAGTATGGATTTGCCTGCAGTAGTAGATCAGTGTCTTTAATACAGTGGTTTAAGGGCTTTTCAATAGAATCCTTCGTGGTAGATTGGCTATTCCATCAGCTGCTTATGACCAGTTTGGAGTGTTTAAAGCTCTAGTTCTGAACACTGTTCCTTGTTAATTACTCTCCACCAACAACAGTCCCATGTGGCTTACACAGGAGGTACTACAGCCATTGAGATTTACACAGGATAGGAAATGGCTGAGATTTTCAACCTGGTATTTCTGTAAGAGCCTAGAGCAAACAACTTGTATGTGTGAACATTTAACCTGTAATACTTGTCCATCGTAAAACCTTCTGAGTGCATTTAAAAAAAAAAAAAAAAAAAAAAAAAAAAAAGTAAAACATGTTCTGTATTGGGTAAGCAGTTCTAGTATTGGTAGATATATTTTCGACATATATGTGTGGGGTTTGTTTATTTTTTTTATTGTTGCAAGAGTCCTTGTCCTTTGCCTGCAATGGGCCTGATCCAGTCTCACGAAGCCCTTTGTGCTTTGCTTCAGACTTGGTCTTTGCTGCCTGTTTGCAAGGCATGGGTGTAAAAGAAAACACTCAGACACATTCTGTAAATCATTTATGTCACCTGTGCCGTAATGTCAGCTAGAGCTCTTTAATATGCATTTGGGAGAGATGGTAAGGGGTAGATAGTACTCCAATAAGTATATTATACTGCAATATTAATTTTTCATTGTCTTCAGGATTGTTCTAAAAATAAAAAAGGACAGTAAAAAGGATTTTGCTTATGGAAAAATTTACACAGTGCCATCTGTTCTTATTTGCATTTGTGTTATTGTGTGTGTGATCTAGGTGAAAAAGGTAAACTGACGCGGTTTTGTTTCTTTATCTAGACACACTACTTCGGCCTTTCATTTCTCAGCAAGAGCCAGCAAGCCCGCTGGGTTGAACTGGAAAAGCCTCTGAAGAAGCAGCTGGACAAATTTGCCAATGAGCCTTTGCTTTTCTTTGGGGTAATGTTCTATGTGCCCAGTGTTTCCCGACTGCAGCAGGAGGTAACAAGGTATGTGGTTTCCTTCTCTTCACACTGTTGTGATATAGCTGGGAGGGAACGGACAGTTGCTCTTTTTCTGGCATTCAATATTTGCTCAGGTATCATTTGGTTCTTTCCTTTCCTGATCATTGCCCAAATGAGAGGTGAGAGAAGTCACTACTTGATTATATCTGTTAGGAAAAAAAAAATAAAACAGTATTGGTGAATGATTATGTATGACCAACTGCAGAAACAAAATGGGGATAATAGATATATGTTTAAAAACCTGACAAATTTTAAAAGGGACCATGGTGACCATACTCTTTTCCTGTAACTTTCTACTGATTAAAAGGAAGCCATAGTCAAAGGACCTCTATATACAGTTTGAGTTTATTCTTCTCGTCTCTACCTGTACCTTGCTGAAGGTGAACTTCGGCATCTTTTCTGGGTTTTGCCCATCCCACTCTTGATTTTTCCCCTTATGCTTCACAAAAGGATTAAAACTGTTATGAGATTATTAGTCCTTTAATTATGATCAGGGTGCACCTTTGCAAACAACTTCAGTGGGAATTACTCTTTTATTCAGAGCCTTGTGCTGCAGTTGTAACAATGCAACTGTTTTGAGGGGCTATTCTTGTAAACCACATAACTCTGTGGTTTTTGCACATCTGTGCTGTATTTAAATTTGAAGAAAAAAAAAAAAAGAAACAAAAGCCCACCTCACCCAAAAATAGGGTGTTTTCTTTTTAACCAAAATTATTTCATTTATCTGGTCTACAGCAAAGTTGCATCAGCACAACTAGAGGTAAAGCCTAGAATAAGTGGATGAAGGCTATAGGGTAGCAGAAGCCTGCCTACTGAAAAAAATGTTGTGTTGCTGCAAACCTGAATTCACAACATCGTTAACATGCCTAAAAGAGATGGATAAATAGTGGAGAAAGAGTGGCTTTAATTCAATGTGTGCAAGATATGAAGCTTTTTTGTTTTGTAGTTTGTGTATTTTAGAGGATTTTTTTTCTTAACGCTGAACTGGAGAATTGACTTTTGTAGGATGAGAAAGGCTGGATTCTTAAAATGCCATCTGTCAAGCAGTCCCTTGACTACTGTATATGCAGAATTCTTGCCAAACAGTGGTCTGAAAGTATCACAAAACTTATATTTCCTTGAGAACAGACTGAACATCGATGCATGTCTGTATTTCTGTGTTCCTGCTTTGTACGTGTTGGGAGAGGGAAGCCTCATACCTTTTTTTTCAGGATTACTTAACATGTAGTTGGAATGTCTGAAATGTTCTGTTGCTCACTTGTCAGCCCAGTCCTGGCCTGATTGTGTGCAAAGAAGCATTGTTGCTACTTGGATGCTATTATCTCTTCAAGCTGCAGCCTGCAGTGTTGATTGCTCATTCATAGCTCACCTGCAGAGGTGTATTTGCTCATTTTGCCCAGGTTGGTAATAACAAAGCATTTCAGTGACAATTGAACTTCACAGCACTATCAACTGGAGTGGCTGCTGAATTGTTTTTCTTGAAGTGATTGATAACATAGGGTCCAGAGCCTTGCAAGTGCCTCTTACGTTTCTTTAAGTGTCTATAGCAAACCCAGCAGTTTACTAATGGACCTCAGATACAGAATAGGCTGTTAACATTTTTTTTGTTTTGTTTCTTGAAGTGGAATTGCTTCACTGTAGGTGATGTGATGGCAGCAAACCTTCAACTGTGCCATTCTAGGTAGATGCAGTAAATCTCATCTTTGAAGCAATGAGTGGTGTGGGGACGTGGAGGACTCTTCTCAAACGGCAAAGAAAGGCTTAGTCTAAAGTGTAATTAGATGGACAGATGGGGGCAGTTTTTAGGGGGTTTTTGGCTTTGTTTGCTCTTGGTAAACTGATTAAACATTTGTTTTGAAATTGAGACTGCCTGCTTTTAGGGTTAGGTTTGATCATAATACAATTTACCTGTGATGGGGTAGGCACTAGACTTGCCCACTCAGTGCTTATGTATTTGACTTATATTTATGTACAAATGAAAAAATCTGTCTTAAAAGCAAAACTAATGATCAGACACTTCGTATGCTTCTGGGAGGCTGCAGAACCATGACAAACAAACCTACCTTCAAAACAAAACCACCACCAAAGGATGAAGCTGCAGAGCTAGTGACAGCACTTCTAGCAGTGAACCTGTTACCTTTTGTAACCTTCTCTTTCTAGAAACATCTCCAGCCCTGAGCTTGACTGGCTATGTTTGGAGCTTGAGATGAAATCAGTCTCTCAGTCCAGGCTTTTAGTTAATTGTAAGCTCCAGAATTTCCAGGGTTGTTCAATATTCCTTTAAGATGATGAAAAGTCTGAGAATACTTCAGCAAACACATAATCCACAAGTATTCAAAAACTATGGTTTACTGAGATGGTTTACTCTGTCTCTGATCTGTAGAATTATAGACTTTGGCTTGATAGCTGCTTTTGGGAGATTTGTTCTGAATTGAATATTCCTCCTTGCTTCCAGGGACTGCAGCCCCTTGCACCTCATGTGCTGTCATCATGAAGAGGGAAAATGATCCAAGGAGTTTAGGCTTTGTTGGTTGAGAGAAACATTACTTGTGAGGTTGGTCAGTGGCTCTGAGGTGGTGTTCCTTAATCATTTTTATTTGAAAGACCGTCTGACTCTTCAAAACTCTGCACCACTTGGTGTTCTTCTGTTGCTTGGTGATTGGGACCAACAGAAGGAATCCTTGTGCAAATAAGACAATTCATATTTAGGTGAAGCTATAATAATTTATTTGTAAAATAACTTCTTTACCTTTTATCATTACTGTTGGAAGTCTGAAATGCTAATTATGCCTGCAGGCTCCTGGATTTTAGCTGCCTGCAGATGTTGGTAGTGGTCAGGAGCTCTTTGTGGTTTTGCTGGTAACTTCCTGTATTGCACAAGCCAAATGTGGCAGAAATAAGGGTGAGTAACGCTGTTCTAAGTGCTGTGTCCCCTGGCAGTGAACGGCCTCTGGAAACTCATCTGTATGTGACATGCTGGGCAAGGAGTAGGATAGTAATCTAGCTAGAAGTCAGTGCTGTCCTTCAGAGGTACAATGTGAGAGTGTCAGTTGACTTGCTAAAGCTAAACACAAGTAGCAGTGCTAACCACAGAGTTGCAAAATGGTTGAGTTTGGAAGGTACTTGTGAAGATTGTCTGCTCAGAGCAGGGTCAGTTAGAGGAGATTGCACCAGGACTGTCCACCATTGGGTTTTGAATATCTCCATGGATGGAGAGACACCACACTTCTGGGAAACCTGTTCCAGTGTTCAATCACCCTTGCAATAAAGAAGGGGGTTTTCTGTTAAGAAGGAATTTCATGTATTTCAGTTTGTGCCCAAATGACCTCACCATTTCAGAGGTGTGGATGAGTATTGGGTGACTGAGTGGGTAAATGGGTTATCTGGGTTGATGATGTAACTGGTTGTTGAGGACCTGTAGAGCTGCAGGTCCCTGTCATGTAAACACAAGCACAGTCATGACAATGTGGGATACCTGTATAATTTGTAAGAGGTATTTCTGATAATACGAGAAAGAAGGGCATGCAGGATCCTTGGGAAAGAAGATGAAAAGACAAGATAGCCAGAGCAGTTTATTCAGCTAACAGCTCTTTGAAGTCAGACTCTGAGGCCCACAAGAAAAGATGAGGCAAAGAGTACTCTGGGGGACATATTCATCGTTTTAATAGGTCAGATCTGATTCTGTGGCTTTCTTCTTTTTTACAAAATTGACACTTGCTTGAAGGTGCAAACATTAGTGGTGTGGGGGGTTTTGCCTCCTCAGACTACATTAAGTAGAGCATTGGGACAGGGTGAGAAGTTTCGGCAGGACATGGTCAGTCTTGTTCAGTTAATGATTTTGAGTGTGAACAGTGAGACTTCTCAGGACAGCCATGTTTCTTGACCTGTGATGGAAGCTTCCTGCGAATGTCCTGGAGAAACGTATAGAAAGCAGCTGCCAGTTGCAGAGTACCTGTCTCCTCTTTCTGGTAATGGCAATGAAATAAATGTTATTGCTATGCCTTCCTTTCAATGTAATAACATTGTACTCTCGGCATTGGGCCTTCTCTTAGGAGAGCTATTTCCCTACTCTTTTTACTCTGTTTCTTTTGTCTTGGGTTGAGGCTCTCATCTGTACATATTCCTTGATCTTAATCCTGTCTCCTCCAAGATATCAGTGGCTCCAGCATTTCCCCCATCTCTAGTCCTGGCATTCTACCTACAGCCAGTACCACGGACATCTTCCAGGGGGAATTATGAATTAAAGCCCCATGATAATTTCTTAAGGTGTCAGTAGGAGTTTCACCATGTTGTAATTGGTATAATTTGAAAATTTCTAGAAGAATTTGCAATAAACCAAATGAAAAAAAACCAACCAAACAAAAGCCCTTTCCAGGCTTGATGGCAGCTACAGCAGGAGCCATTTGGGTGGGAGTATGGAGGTTGGCACATTAGCAAAAGGCATTTTTCATGGAAGGCTACTTAAGCAACCTCCTTTTAGTTATCCAGATGTTCTCAGTTTGAGCAGCCATCGCAGGTGGAGATGCAGCACATGCTTTTGGCATATTTAAAGCACCTGGGATCTGCATACTGTCTGATATAAAGCAGTCTTTGTGGTGCCCTGTAGAGTAGATATTTGCATAGATTAGAAATATAAATCTGCCTTTTATTTTCTGCTAACTCCTAGGAGGGGAGGCATCCTTTCAACCATTTATTTTTAAAAAATCAGTCTTTGTACAGTGTCTAAAGTAAACAAGCTTGCTTTTACTGTGCTCTTGTTCCAAAAACAGAGAACCCACACACTCTTGTGGCTTTCTGAAAATGTGGGTGCGATGCTGCTTTCTGTACAAGTAACAGACAATCCATGGTCTTTTTTTTTTTTCCACTGTTCTAAGAAAACTGAAGTTACATTTTTCGCCCCACAGTATCTCTGGCTTCACATGTGATACTGCTGTGCCTTCTGTGAAGGAATGAAGGTGTGCTTTGGTCTGATTTTCTTTCTTGAA